AAGCATTTGACATAAAAACGCAAAACATTTTTTTGAAACTATAAAGAACAGATTGTAACATGTTTTAGATCTAACAATTTTGATAACAATAGGCTCACTGCCAATAGATATGTTCTAGATGTTACAGATTACGGTTTCCTAGAAAAACTGAGTTTTTCAGTTCGTTTGAATTGATATCGATCCGTCAGACATTTGACAAAAAGTATAAATCTTGATACAAGACAACAACAGAAAAATAGGAACATATGTAGCTACTCGCATCAATCGTGTTGCATGTCTTTGTTTGAACTATGATTGTTTAGAAACACGCTTTGTATTTTGTTCTTTTCTGCTATATATCATTGGTTTACTTTTGGATATCAAGTACTTCTTTTCACTTTTCCGTCATCAAAAACCTCATGTTATTGCTGTCTCGAAATCAAAAGTAAAATAATTTAAAAAATCACCTTTTTATCTTGTATCATTCCAATATCTGGTAAGTGTCGTAGTGTCTATTGTCATACGTGAAACTGGAAACAGAAGCATTAAAAAATGTATTTTTGTTTATATTTTGCAACTTTTATATAATATGATTTCAACGGATATCACGAACAGTAAAGTCAAGAATATATCTATTTGTTACTGGGATGCTAAGAAATTGAAATAATGAAGCAAAAGCATTACAGAACTGTTTTTATGCATCACAAATAGAAAACATGCATCAGAGCATCAAACAATGTATAAATTTATTATAGAATAAAATTCCTTGAAATTTCATGAATGATCTTTGCGTATTTATATCATGACAAAACATGACGTCAAACGATTGACAACTCTCAACCTGAAGGTAATTCCGTTACTTTTACGTTTCCAATTTGGATAATATATCATTAGAATTGAGTTTTTGAGGTAGGTGTTCTTTCATATCGATTGCATTGCATTAATCAGAAATTTATGGATTCCCGCCAAAGAATATGGCGGCTCACTACTTAGACCGATATGTCAACTGTGTATTTGATCGTAAATAGATGCCTATAGAAAACATATGTAAATCTGGGCAATAGTCAGATGTTATTACTTTTTTTCGACTACAAATTAATTAAAAGTACCAATACAAATAGTATGGACAATTTCAGAATGTGCTACACAAGCATGCCTTAGTCTGAATTCTTGTGCATCTTATTTCAGAGGAAATTTGAATAAAACGATTCATCAATGTACAAAAGTGAAATGAAAACAACCACTATGCGCTGTTCAATGTAACTTTTCTTGAAAACAATGAAATTCGAAATTCAAATAAGTTGTCAAATACAAATACTATGTAAATATATAAGTTATTGATTTAATCAAAATTAAATTTTCAATTCTGAAAAAATACTGAGCTCCCCACTCCCCCCCCCCCCACCCCCCCCCCCCCCCACCCCCAACCCCCAATGCATTTTACAAGTCTTTTATCATATTAATAAGAAGATGTGGTATAATTGCCACCTGAGACTTATTGACACAGTAGTGAACTGGTCACCGTATGGCTTTCAACGATGAACAACACCCATACCGCATAGTCACATATAAAAAAACCCGAAATGACAAATGTGAAACTGTTTAATCGAAAAATCTAACAGTATGAATCATGTACAAAGCAATGACTACAAACAAATGTAATTTGCAGCAATAAACGACAACCACTGAATCATTGGCTACTGAATGGGGACAGGCACATACAAAATGGGACAGGTGTGTAATAGTACTACCACATAATAATCAGTCGGAAAGGGCTTAACTAATCAGATCGAGACTAGGCAGAAAACGTCTAGCAAAAATACAAACCTTACGTGGCAGGATATCTAATCATCCCAACAACAACAAAGACACTAAGTACAATAACTGACAGCTAGTTCAAAGCCAATAACAACTTATAAACAAATAAAGGCAACAGTATTATACCGCTGTTCGAAAGTCCTAAATCGATTGAGACAAAAACAAATCCGGGTTACAAACTAAAACCGAAGGAAACACAACAAAACATGCATCTAAGATTGAAACATTTTTCAGTACATATAGTTTGACATGCGGTTTTGGTTTTGTACATTGCTGAAGGTCGTAATTTTCCATTTTGTTTTCTTATTGTGAAACAACCAAAACATAAATATGCCGAACGCTTATTAGCATAGTCAATGCAAAAAGGGATGTTTTTCGGCAGTATTTTGGGATGAATGAAAAAAAAGCATGTTATATTATTTCCTAAAAGGAAATGTTTAAGTTAAACGTTTCCCGTGCCTTAATTCGTCATAATACGTGCACGTTGTTTTCTATTGCAGATTAAAAAAAATTAATATGAACTATATATTTTTAGCATATTTTGCAATAATTATTGTTTCTTAATACCAAACCCATTATCGACCCATTGACCTACCAATAAGATTAACTCAAATGGAACTAGATGATATCGGAATGATACCAAACGAGACGTGATTAAACGGTATTCTACATCATCTACGTCATAACACGTGCATTTTTTTTTTAATTGCAGATTTTAAAAAGCTTGGTATGAACTATATATTTTTGACATATTTTGCAATAATTATTGTTTCTTAATACCAAATCCATTATCGACCCATTGACCTACCAATAAGATTAACTCAAATGGAACTAGATGATATCGGAATGATACCAAACGAGACGTGATTTAACGGTATTTTACATCATCTACGTCATAACACGTGCACGTTTTTTTTTTAATTGCAGATTTTAAAAAGCTTGGTATGAACTAATTGTTTTTGGCATATTTTGCAATAATTGTTGTTCTTTGGTTTTTATATTGTAATTTGATCAATAGTGTCTATTACATGATTGTTACAGTTTTACTGAGTATATATTCGCATGTCGGTTGATGCAGGTATAGCAGTTGACACATAACCTGTCGAAGCACCCGGTCTCGTTCCTTTTGTTTCAAACGATATCCACAGTTTGTGTTTGTAATCTTGTTTTTTTTATACTCAGTTTATGCAATTGAAACATCGGTAAACCCTTTTGCCTATATTATTCTAATGTTTTGTTTATATATTTAACAAATCATATTGTTTTCTGTAGTTTTTGGCATATTTTAAATCTTTTTTTAATTTTAACATTTGATGTAAAATTGAGAATGGAAATAGGAAATGTGTCAAAGAGACAACAACCCGACCATAGAGCAGACAACAGTCGAAGGCCACCAATGGGTCTTCATGCAGCGAGAAACTCCCGCACCCGGAGGCGTCCTTCAGCTGGCCCCTAAACAAATATGTATACTAGTTCAGTGCTTATTACTGATTACTGCTTCCCAATGTGTTTTTATCAAATACTTGTAGATGTAATTGCTTTGTCTTAAAAAAAGATAACATTTCTATAAAACTTACGGTCAGCCTGTCTATCATCTATCCCTTGATTTTCTGTTTGGATATATAATCTTGAAAACACTTAAAAGATCAATTATAAAATACTGACACATCGCTTTGATTAACAAATTAGGGATGGTGAGCGCAGAATTTCAGAAGTTTCTATCAGACAAACCAACAATTTCAATGAAGAAAACAAACTTTGCATATTAAAAAGAAATTAGGACAAAAAGACTTGTTCATAGAACATGTAGAACAAAATCATTACTTTCAAGGTGTCAGGTGAATGTTTTTATTTGAAAGAGTTTTGGTAACAATTTCCGAATTAAAACTAATTATATAATGCAATACCTACACGACTAAGACACTATGTCACACACAAGAATACGTTTTTATTTTTCCATCGGAAAACGGCTCTCTTTTTGCTAAGTTGGCACAGTTTAATACACCTCAAACTTACTCCTCCGAACAAAAAAAGAATTAGTGCACCCTACTCTTCGATCTCTACTTGGCTTTCTCAATCGTCATCATTTGGTAATTTAAAAAGCTGTCTATTTTTCAAACATCTCTGACCGCCAAAATCTTTTTTTTTTTAATCAAATTCCGAAACTTCTGGATTAATAGTAATTACTGGGGATATTAAAGACAACATAAACAAAGGAAGTTCAATTTTGTGACCATAAACTTGTTATTATCATGACAATTCAACAAACAACATTGATGTTTTTCAGACTTTATGGTAGATAGTATTCTACTTCCTGTATTGTTATTCAACCCTTGTTGCGTAACACAGCTATCTCTTGTTAAAACATAAAATAAGATAATTACACTTTTCTTCTTCTTCAAAACCTGTTACATATGCGGTATTCTCCGTTGAGGGAATAACCTTTCCTTACAAAGAATTCAGATTGAAGCAGTATGGCTCAATTTACTAGAATTATAGGTATGTCCAAAATGAACTAACTCTTCACTAGTTTCGTGTGCCGAAGCGCTCGTCTGGATTTCCTTTGAGGAATATCAAAACCCAAACTTTTGAAACCAAGTAATAAAAGTAGTCAAATCAATCGTTCAATTGACCAATCAATGGGACTCGCTCATAGGGAGGTACAAGATATTGTGATGACATTATCAAACGAAACGTGTCACTTGATTTGACGGTAGCATGAACGGTATGAAATATTGCAGTTTGAGAAAGTCAAAATAGTTTAGTCACACTTATTTTGGTGTCCAAAAATGTTAAATCGATTTTACTTTCTAAACTGTGAGACTAAGCGCACATAAAGGAGGTTAATCAAGCCAACTAAATGTTCTACAATTATTGTTTCAGTTTTCATACCCCATATTACTTGATGTCTGATGATTGATTAAAAGTCATGTTTGATGGAAATCAACTAAATATCTACTTGTTGATCAGAAACATATTGTTTCAAATAAATGTGATGCAGTTCTACATTTAAAGCCTAAGTGTTCTGCATGGTTGTTGGCAAGAACTTACACATAACAACTAAAAAAGGCACAAGAAGCTAAAAAATCATTTGTTAAACCTTGTTGCTGTTTCATTGACGTATGTTCCAATCTTTGATAACTATACGTTAAATCATTTTGACAATTTTGATTAAGATCAGGTCGATTTTTTTTTTAATGTATTCAATAAAATAGAATCTGACTATAGTTGTCAAAGGCATATACTATACCCAGTGTACAAAGGTAGTGAATAATTTTAATCTTACTATTTGTTTGCTGTTCTTTCGGCTTAATTTCAATCATTGTTTTCAGTTCAACGACATAAAAGTCTCTACTATTCATCATCACTCCTACTTTAATAATTCTCTGGATACCAGTATCCATTATTTTACAAGATGCTTTATATTTTCCATTTTCCATATGAGTAAATGACAATTCTCCTACGGATGCCAGAGGTGCGTCCGCCGTTTCAAATAGTACACAAGTAATTATCATTTCATCTAATACCTGTGCATCATAGTAATCAAAAAGTTCAATTATAATGTCAAAATCTTTTTCTGTCTCAATTGCTGTTGGAAATGTGACTTTTGTTTTAGGGCCAAATGCAAACGACGAAAATATATTTCCAAATGTATCAACAAATCGTTGCAATTTAGTTCCTAAATTTGCTTTGGAAAATAAAACAGGATTGCAGTCGCGTGGTTCGGTATCACAGTTAGTGTTTAGTAAATGGTTTAATCGGTTTGAGATGGTTTTTGAAAGAAGGAGAAATGCTGATTGATTTTTGGTAGCAACAGTTTGATCAAGAAATCTACACGCGTCCCTGATGGTTTCAATGAAATTGATAACTTCTGTATCTTGCTTCTTTAAAAGAGTGATTTTGTCCTTTGTCAGCTTATCAGTATTCTCTATTAAGAGATCTCTTCGACGCTCCAGTATTTTTACTGCTATTTTAAATATTGCTTGAATTTCTTTCTTTGTAGTATCCGCGTTTGCTGCAAGCCTATCTAATTGCTCATTGATTCTTTTTGAAAGTCCAACCAATTCTCTCTCCGTCTTGAGTATTTTGTCTTTTTTCTCTATCATACGTTTAACTTTTTCAGTATAGACTTCTTCAATATCCCTTGTGATATGCTTCTTGTTATCTGTTGGCATATGGCTTGTAAGACAACAAGAATAACATATAGGTTTTTGACACTGAGGACCAGCGCAAAACAAAGTGAGTGGATTTTTCTGATGGTTTGACAATGAACACATTCCAGCATGTCTAAATTCAGAAACATGTTCCATCGATAATTCAAAATCATCTAGGGCAAAAACTTCGTGGCCACTGAATGTCTTCATTGTTTTATGTGCTGCTAGACATGTTTTACATATGAATCTGAAACAATCTTTACAACGTGAAAAGGCTTTTTCATTTTCGCATTCATCACATTGTATTTCGGATTTGTGGTCACCAGCCCGGACAAAATTTAAAAGATCCCTTCGTGTGTTATCTTTTGAAAACGAATCAACGCTTACATTTTGGACAAAGAAGTCAAATTTGCAAAGTGGGCACGTGTATTTTGATTGTTCAATCAATTTTTTCAAACACGTGTAACAGTATGAATGAAGACATGGCAATACACGAGGATGCCGATTGGTGTCATTGAAAAGCTCATTACAAATTGGACATTCCAAGAATTGTTTTTTTAACTCCTCAATATTTACAACAGCAGACATCGCCTACAGAAAGAAAATAAGCATGATAAGTATATATAATGTAAATTCAGAAGGTTTGTATCAATTTGAAAAAAGACTTGTACTGCACGAATGATAAAAAAACAAGATATTAAGTTTTGATATCATTAATGGAATGTAACATATCTCCTGAAACTGCAATAGCTAATTTCTCATTTTTGTGAACTGTTCAGTATCGCAGCAATAAATACACACAATTAAGTTTCAATAGATTCAATGACTGACTTGCGAACTATTATCAACATGATACAATGCAAATTTGTATTCAAACGTTCTCGATCACACAGATACTACAAATGTAAAAGATATCATGCAAATCATTTTTTGATTTTTAGTCTTGTTCACAATTTAATATTAAGATAACACTATTTGAAAGTATGTTAACATTACAGGAAACAAACATGACAATAATACAGTAAATTTTATTAAAATAAAAATCAAACAACTCATTGACTTCTGTTGATATTATACAATTACATGTATTGACTTTTGTTAAGTTTGATACAATGATTAATCAACCCCAGATATATGATTTTCACATAGGCCGACGGTTAAGGGTGAATGTAATATCTCTGGGGTTGATAAATCATTGTATCAACTAAAATCTTAGGTCAACAATTGTTTTATTATATGACTGTTTATCCTACAATTTTCTAGTATTTGTTCAAGATACTTCTAAAACTGCTCCCTCTTTTTATATTACCGATATCATATGATTTTGCAGATGCTTAATTATTTTCATAAGTTAAAATATTCAAGAAAGTTTACTAGAGAAATACACCGAAAACAAAAAGAAGAGACAAAATACACCGATAACAAGAAGAACAAGAAATAGCGGGAATACGCATAACGTCATAAACCTACGTAATTAACGTTGCCTTGGAAAATCTTTAATCAGGTACACTGACGGTGTTCCGAATCTTATATTAACCTCTCGGTATTTTTGCCGCGGTGAATATATATTTTATCAAAGAGGATTTCTTTTGCTGTTAGCCAAAGAGAAAACAGAACAATTATAGTCATATGATAGTAATCATAATGAGACAATTTCACACTGATATTATCTTTGAATATTATTCTTCAAAAACTAATGTAATTCTAAACACCTTGCCTACCTCTATGACAAGGTATGTTGTATTCCTTTCAGAGAAAATCGTGTTTTGTTTGTAAATCATTTAACCAAAATTGCCTTTAAAGGAATTAGGTATTGAAATGCTTTTGGAAATCCGTTATTTCTCCCTCGACGTTAAACAAAGAGAAAACAAATTGACAATCACGGATCTGTTTTCTGTTCCTTCTGAATTTTAACCAATGAAGATAAAGTGAGTATTTATTAACTATTCTTAATAAAAACAAGTTACATAAGTTTTTTACAAGTAATGTTATATTGCAATGTATACCAAATGCTCAATCATGAAACTCCTTTTCTAAATTAATAACATGTTGTTTTATCTGCAATCAAAAACTAGGCTTTATGCTAACTCTGGAACATTCTACTTGTAGGAGGTGTGAATCGGACGTGAATATTTACTAAATTTAAATATTATGTTAGCGTACATAATATCATTCTATGTGTCTTTCCTCGTGTACGAGTATGAAGAATTTGACTCTGTACTCATAGCACTTGAATTACTATTGTTAAACAAAAGACTATTTTGAACAAACAAGTAACATTTTTGTTTTAATAAAAAAAAAAAACGAAGGCCAACTTACAATCAAATATCTTGTTTTAGGAAGAGGCAACTCATACTTTTTAAAACAACTATTCAAACAAGAAAATCTCACTCTGACTTCATCAAAATGTTTGATTTTACGATTGTAAACATATATGAACGTTTATGTTACGTGCTTTAAATATTCAAGTGAAATCAAGTGTGCGCTTCTTCCTGCTTCTTCTCTTATATTCGTACGCGATAGACTTCTCTTTCGATTTAACAGAAAATCAGGGAATACTACATATATATCTCTACATCATTCACAAAAGATGACATTTTAGGAAAAGAAAACAATAATTGCGTCCGTTCCTCCTTTGCTTTCATCAACAAGTTGAACGATAAAAAAATCTCTCGTTTACACAAAGAATCAGAAACTTTACAAAAAATCTTGTAAAAACGATAACAAAATTTAATAGTTAGATGTTCAAATTAAAAACAAAGAATTCTTGCCATTTTGATCGACAACAGATTTGTTGATTCTAATCGATTAATATTTCAATGTGCAAACGTTATTCTAATGGTAAGGTATTGGGCTTACGTGCTTATCGAAGAGTTTTGTTATCCACATAAAGAAGTATTCCTTAATTACTTTCAAAATCAAACAAAAATCTCCAAAAATGTTGAATATTACATTGAAATATAGTAAATGTTTCCGGTAACTAAATAACCCACATCACAGTAAGTGTGTAATCTCATATCTCCAAGTCAACTTAAGATTATATATCCTATCAAAATATCAATGTCTTCTTCTTCATATTGTGATATGTTTCATACTTCCAACACTGTATCTAAATAATATACACTTCCCAGGTGAAATACTCATTAAGTAAAATATATCAATTGAAAGATATACAAAATGGATACAACACGATGAAACATCAAGGGTTTAAATTGCATGTCTGAACTCACATGCATCAGGAACGGCCAAAGCTAAAACCAAAAAAGCTGGATGCACATATAGCATTTTCCAAATATTGCATTAATAAATGAACGCAATAATTTCTGAATGTCAAATCAATAATGCAGTTATACATACTTACCATCGCCATTTCTTTCAAAACAAGAATTTACTAAATTGTTGGTTTCGTACAATTTAATATTCCGTACAGAAAAATGGGGTCGTTTTGTTGCGCACAAATAAGATTCTTATGATATGTTAAATATGTGAATTTAACTGATAAAGAAGATATGTGTGTAACAAAAATTGGTCTTAATTTTGAAGTTCAGTTCTACCTTAGTTATAATTTGTGAATATTTTATCAGTTTGAATGTTAAATTTCTTTAGCTCCAGAACATTTAAGGAAGACATTGTGAAATCGTTTTGCAAAGGACTGATATAGAAATATGTTTTATTTTTTATATCAGTCAGGTTGAAGTACTATTTACATGAGCGAATTCCTGTGCAAAATTGAAGCACACACTGTAACCTCTCTAATATAGACTACAACTTCCATGAAAAACATCGTACGAAAATTTAGACATACAGCGACAAAAGTTTTAATCATTTAATAATATAGGATTCACTGATTGATTGATTGATTTGTGTTTAACGCTATTTTAAGCACTATTATGCTATTTTGTAGCGGTCAGTTTTATTGGTTGCGGAAGCCGGAGTGCCCTTGGAGAGCCACCGACCTTCGGTAGGAAATCTGACAATCCTAGTCGATTAAGATTGACGTCGAGCACACCTGCCGCTTGCGGAATTCGAACTCACAACATCAGTGTTGACATATAGATATATATCGACGACAAGTTTTTAAAATTACTTTATAACATAGGATAGCATAAACAAATGTATATGTGTACAACAGAAAACACATCATTTGTTATCTATCCCAAAGCAAACACATATGGAAAACAATTGTTAACGGAGCAACGCCTGGTAGAGCATCAGTAAAATGTAAAAGTGCAGTTGTGTTATGTATGTTTCAATCTAGATAGACGGGGCTGAGGGTTTTGCTACTTTTAAGAAAATTTGACAAAAGATTTAAATTTAACAACTGCAATCATCATAACTGTCATATATTTGCGGCCCCCAAGGGTGACTGGGGTATAGAAGTATGGTCACCATTGGTCTTCCTCCGACCGGCAGTAAAACCCGTGCTAAAGTGGGGCGTCCGTTTGGCTGTGCGGGATGTACAAATTTGCAGCCACGTCCGGTCAGAATGGGGACGTTAAATCCGATGCCTCGTGTAAAGAGAGTGCCACGCTCTTTGCACGTTAAGAATCCTTGGAACAACTCTTTGAGGGGTCCGTAGGTGACCTGTTGCAAGGCTAAATTTATGTCCCTATCCAATATATCCTGATTTCCCGTGGCAGTCTAAATTTCTCCGACCTTAATCCCGGACCCCTCTATTACAGAACCTACTTATTGTATTTATTGTTAATTTGTTCTCGTCCTGAATATGCATGAAATACTTGCCACTGGACGTTAAGCAACCAACAATCAATCAATCATATATTTGCGTTTGAGAGACAACGATCAGCCTTTGTGTTGGTTTTAGTGAGAGCGAGTAAAGTTTGATAAATTTTGTTTGAAAATTTTAAGAATAAAGTTTAGCAATGTACAGGAATCAGAAGAAAAAAAACATATCTACGGTAAATAGAGGGCACAGAAATTCCTCATACGAATACACATTCTTGGCGATAAACTTGTTTCTTTAGAAAGAACAATGACATTTTATACACCTAATGTTACGATAATATTTTGTTTTGCAATTTAACATGTTTAAGACATTTATCCGAGGATTAAATGTCTTAGACAATTATTTGTTTTCACTTTCTTATGCGAACATGACTAATAGGTAAATTGGATTGAATAAAAGACACAACCAAACGGATATCCTCGAGTATTCATTCAGAACGGGAGCAAGACGGTTGACCATATTCATTTACTCTTACAAAACCTTGAGTTAGGCAATTTGTAAATGTATTTGTTTAAGAAATAAAAACAACGTGAAAACTTTTTTATAAAAAAATCTGAGGATGCGTTACAATGTTTGAAAAGATACATAGGAAACATTATAATGAATATTTTCAGTCTGTTAATAGTTTCCTTTTACGGTCAATCAGGTCATTGCATACAGATATCATATTTTTGAGTGTATAATTAGACTGCAATTGTAAAATATAGTTGGATTTGTGCATATTGCAATGGTTTTGACCTGAAAAATATTGACAGGGTTTTATGTTTATAAATACTGGATTTCTGATTAAAGAATATTTACTTAGAATGCATTATGTCTTCCTGTTAGATTATTAATGGAA